CCTCCCACTGGAAAAATTGTTTGTTTATGTTCTTTAAATAAATATTTAATATCTTTCATTCTTGTCTACTGTGCTGCTTGCTGTCATTATTGAAGGTGGGGTCAGAGTTCTTTGAGGAGGAAGTGGAGAGAGAGAGCGTGAACCATCCATCTCATGGGAATTTCTTCCATGTATTTCAGATTGGTTCTTAAGAAAGTGCTGTTTTGTGCAGAGATGTACTTGAAACTGGTGTGAGGTATTTCTGAAGCTCGGAGTGACAGCTTTTTCCCAGCATTGCTGGTACACCCTGGGCATGACTCCATGGCTGTGCTGAAGGCACAGACAATGTTCATGAATCTTACTGTGTTCGATAAGAAGCCAACAAGGAATGTGGAGAAAAAGTTTGATATGAACATAAATCAAAATAAAAATGCAAGTTGGGATGCTAATTGAAAGCCCATACAAGGCCCATACACCTCACAAGTAACTTCTTTTATCCACAGCTAGTGAATATTTCTGGGGTATGTGGCCACAGCAGAATGCAAGCATAAGGGCAGGCTTTATCCCCATGCCTTGTCCATCTAGTTAGCATCCATGATGCTGGGTGCATGTGTAAAAGGATCTGAGATTCCCAGCATTCCTCCAGTGTTGACTCTGATACTGTCTAATGTAAGTTATCTGGGGTCCTCAGTGATGTTGAGTCTCCTGTTCTCTCCTGCTGTGCTTTTCAACTTGCCAGTTCTTGGATAACTTGCTGCTCCACTCACCACTTTCACCACCCATGCTGCTGGAGTGTTAAAGAAAGGGGTCAACCCTGGACCTCCTGCTCTCCTGGTATGTGCTGATCCAGGGGATTTCACAGTGGGTGAACAAGTGGATGCAGATATGTTTTAAGGTACAATGCTGCTTGCTCAGAGAATGGGAGCTGGATTGATGTCCCTGGGGATCAAGGGCGAGAGATCATTTATGTCCTGTTGGGGGCACCAGGGATGAAGAAGGGAATGGAATCCTCAAGACCATCAAGGGATAGGCTCTGTTGGGACATAACACTGAAGAAAAGTTTTAGGTTGACAAAGTGAACATACGTGTTGTGTTGGACAGCAGTTCTGGGAGCGTGGCTCACACTTTGCCAATGCCATACCTTTGTGGATCGGAGGCGCTACAGCTGCTTTGCTCCTGTGGTGCATGGTGTGCCTTTATTGCAGGATGGCACCATTTGCGTGTGTGCCACATGAACACACTGCAAAAGTGCTAAGTCTGTCGGTTAGAGCCATGGTTTCGAAATTAAAATTCAATTTTTTTGTAATGCAGACATGAGAAGTTGTGTAATCATGTTTGTAACTGGACAGTCATTACTGCTGCTCAAATAAGTTGCCATACTCTAGACAACTATTGTTACTAATTATTTTTCCACCTTTTTTTTATGTTTAGTAATAAGTGGACAGCAATGTTTTATGTAATATTCAAAGAATCTGGTGTTCTGGATAATTTTGGAAAACAGTTCCTCATAATTTTGTTTACTGGCTACTTTTGTTTACTGGATTGGTGGTTGGTCACTGAAGCTTCCTCTGCTTGGGGCAGCACCAAGGCTGTTGTACCAGTAATATTTAGCAAGTCCAATGGGATATTGTTGCGGAGGACGCGGAAAGGTGAGGTCAAGCCTTCTCAACCTTGACTGCAAGTAGCTTCTCTTTGGGGAAAGTAGTTCTTAAGGCAGAGCTTGCAGCTTTGCTTTGTTTGCCTTAATTCTATTATTCAGACAGTTTTTCTACCTGGTAAACCCTTCTGAACCTGGAGAGGTAGCCAACAACCAAACAGTTAAAAGAATATCAAAATAAAATATTTCTGATAGATTTCATAAAGGGTGAGTTATAGCTGAAAAAAATTATTTTGGATTAAGTATATTGTACTTCATTCTTCAATCCAGTAATGTAATTTTATTTATCTGAAAAGATTTAAGATGTTCCAAACTGCTTGGATGGCATGTAGAAAGCATTCCAGTTTGACAGAAGCTTGAATTGATTACTTTTCTGAGGAAGAAAAAAAAAGAGTTTTATTTAAATCAACTTTAAAGCTTTATTTTAAAGGGTAGATATTGGTAGCTGGAGAATACACTCTGCCTTCCCCTCATATTGCAGCTGGACAGCAATAGCCAGCCTTCAGTTATTTATTTATTTCCTGCACAGAGGGGAGGAAAATATAGGTCCATGAATCAATCTAGATAATGGGGAAGGCTGAATGTAATAAATAATACAGTAACAACCCTAAACTAATGAGCTGTTGCTAAGGTACATTTCACAGGCTCATGCTCTATATAAAAAGTCACTAATAATCCCTTGGTGTAATCAGATGATAAAGCTTTGCCATAAGGCAACACCTGTGCAATTAAAGCTGTGGATTCTTTTGCACGTTTCATTAATTTCAGGATTTTGTAAAGGCACAATGACTACACTAATAATCTAGTCTACTTGACTCCATGTCTACTGGAAACAGGGTGTCTAATTAGGTAAAGGTAATTAATTAGAGATAAATGGAGCTAATCAGACTCGGTTAACACTAATTCTCTGAATTAAGACATTTTGGGACACCTACTATTCCATTGGCTTTGATGTTTCCCAACAAACACTGACTTGGAAAGGAGTCAGAAACCACTACATTTATTCTGTTGGAGATTGTTGGCCCAATCCTGCAGGAGCGCTTGCCCCAGTAGTTTTGTTGGGGGTTGTTGGGACCCTGAACTGTGCTTATTCCCGTGGGTTTGCTGGGAGAGGCATCCCCTCCTACTGTGTTGTGTTGGAGCCTTGGTTTGACACCCCTGGGAGTAATTTGGTGTATTTTTACAAGCTTCTGCCAGGCTTTTGCTGATTGTGATATTTTCCCCACAGCTTCTTTCCTTGATGTGGGCATATTTTTAAATCTAGGATGTGCTAGTGTTTAGAGGGGCCACCATAACCTCTGCTGTGGACAGCATTCAAAAGGCAGAATACAGTGCCTTTCCTCAAGGAAGAAAGGGGGATAAAATAAAAAAAATACAGTCAATTTAAAAGAAATCTGGATTATTTAGTGAAGGGATCAGGATTTCACAGGTGGTCTGTGCATTTGTAACTCTTTGGAGGTCATGAGCCTATTCCGGTGTGGAATCAGATGCTGTTCATCTTGCTTAGGTAACCAACTACAATTGGATTCAGGTGCCAGCATTTTCAAAACTGGCAGGGCTATAAGGCAGGGGAATATAAAAGTGAGTGGGACAAGAAGTAAGCAAAAAATCTAGTTGCTTCAATGTTGTGGAGTTCCTGCATGCCTCTACTGCTAAGTCTGTATTGGAAGAGTCCTGGTTTGCCTTTTTTTCACCAGGTAATTGTTACTTCCTGACATGAAATAGTGTGTAGTGCTGGTGGCAGATGTGGTGGAAAGATGCTATGACTGGTATATGCCTACACTGAAATGACGGTGCCACCACCTCCAGCTTTGTTAGTGTTTGGGGATGGAACCATGCTGTGCATGTGGAGCAAGCGTGTTTTAGAAGCTATTGCCTCTTGTCTCTGCGTGGTGTTAAGCTACAAAGTAAGACGATTTCCCCTCCCCTATGGATGGTCTGCTCATTTCAGCTGCAAAGCACAGCTGATGGAGTTCTTCATCTATTGCTTGAATGCTAGGAGGAGTGGGAAATGCTCTTCCCTCCTATATCTAAAGAAGACCAGATACTTTTTTAAACTTGTATTTTTAAAATACCTAAGATGATGTTGCACAGCGGGCTACATAACTAAGAAGAGTGAGCAAGGAACGAGGCATTGTAGGGTGAGCTATAGCCTGAGGTAAGTCTCCATGAGCTGAGCTACACTACCCTCAATAGAGGAGATGAAATAGAAATGTCTGAGTGCTTTTATTACCAGATATTTTTTAGATTGACCTTTCAATAACTTGTTAAATTACAGAAAATATTTCAGTTTTCTAGATGTGAAAGACCTGCTGGGTCATGTAGTCCACAAATTCACCTCTGGATATTTTTATTTGCAGCTTGGTGACTTCAGGCTTTCAGGAGTAGATGGGGCTTGGGCTCCACTGTTCAAAATAACTTGTATTTCCAAGCGTGCACAAATTCTGGTTAACAGTTACAGAGTGTGGATACAGGAGAACCATTCTGACTACAGCATCCAGGCAAGAAAAATTATTTGGGATGTGTGTCCCCTGTACACCAGGGAGGCAGAGTGCTGCTGCCTCCTGGCTTGGCTGCACCCTGTCAGCATGCAGCTGGGCCAGAGCCCAGAGAGAAGGCAGACAATGGGAGTCCAAGCCTTTGGTCAGGGCTGCAGAGCAGTTGTGTGAGAACCCAAGCCCAATTTGCTCACAGTAGTTTAATTCCTCTTGTGCTATTGCGGTTACCAATGAGTGCAGTCTTCAATTACATTTATATTATTTTGTATCATAAGAAATTCAGGAGTTTCATGCTCCAGCACTTCAGGTTTCAATCTAGTTGATAGTACTGTCATCTGACGCACTTGTCCTTTTGAACATAACCCTGTCCTTCCTTTCAAGGCTCTCTTCATTGGAGAGAAATGGGCACTAGCATGGTTACTCTGACCAATTTGGGGTTTCGAACTGAAGTCATGGCTCTGTTTCACAAGTGCCTGCTTTCCAAAGATGCCTGGGTGACCTCAGTGTCTGGCCTGTAAGTCCATCCGTGCTCTGTGCTGGACATGGTGTGGCTGCGACAGGGGAATGGTGCTGTGAGAGGGTGTGGAAATTGACTGGAAATGAGTGAAAATGGTGTGCTGTTTTTGGAATTCAGAGGTTTCTGCTGTCTGCTTTGTGTTTGCTGCAGTTTGCTTCATTTCTCTTTGGTTTTGTAAGCACGGAGTATTTAGTAAGGAAAGCAAAAACATGTGGCAAGAGAAACCGAATGAGAAATGCTGAGCGTACGGAGAGGAGTGAGTGTTGAGGAGGAGATGGTGGCTGGTATCAGAGCAGAGCCCCTAGGTCCTGTGACACCTGCTCCTCCCCACCAGCCCAGGCAGGCAGCA